TATTGTCATAAACATATTTATAAAATAAAGACATTACCAGCATCTTATTCAATATACTTCAATCTATCACCATGCTAATTTTCACATTAATTGAACCTTCCTAGGCCGGGATCTTAGAGGGGGGCATAATGCCCCCCCCCCCCCCGGCCGTATTAAGACCTCAAATAGCCCGGCCTTTTTTAAAGGAATTATTAAAACCAAGTTTAAGAAGAAAAAAACTTCCTCATATAATCAGAAAGCAAATTGATAGCTTTCTGTCTTCATATCCTGATTTATATTTACATAATAGAAAGAGAGACACACACAAAAAATAGTATAATTTAAGATTTTTTTATTTTTTTAAAATCAGTGTTATATAGCAAATTAGCCGTTTTTTGTAATAGAATGAATTCTTATTATTAAGTGCTCTGTAGCTGTTATAACACACTTGTCATAACAAGGTAATTTATCAGGACCCAATTCTTTTTTTCTTCTTTTTTAAGTGTGTTTTATTGAAACAATGAAATACAATCACAATATTTACAAGTATTTATAAAAAGATTACAAAAAAAGCAGTACAGCATAGATCAAAACCTCACGAAAAGTAAATTTACCTCTCTTTAGAAATCAAGCCAACTGATTGTTCGAAATTGCAGTCGTGGTTTAGCCATGCATTGACGAACAATGCCAGTAATGGTCAATAGTTCATGAGTGATATTCCCGGAAAATTCCGGGTACCACGAAAATAGTAACATTTTGCTGCGATCTCCATTAATGAGTGATATTCCCGCAAAATTCCGGGTACCAGGAAAACAGTTGCGAACCCCATTGGTTTACGTGTTAAAACTTAGTTTGTGCGCAGCGCGGCTACCATACAGTTTTTGTGCGATACATTTTGGTCAGCGCTACATTTTGACGACCGCCGATCTCGATAGGCCGACTTGTAATCTCCGATTTTTTAGTTTCTGAAATTTATTTTATGTCCAAAGAAGGTAAAAATGGCTGAAGAGACTCTTCCTAGATTTGAACTTCTTGATGATGATCAATTACAAGACTTGATTAATTCTGCGGACAGCAGAACACCAAAAGTGCCGTGAAATTCTCTGTAAAAATATTCGAAGACTAGGCCTAGATCTACCTGCAAGTTATCAACACATTGGAGTGGGGAGTGGGAATGGGGGATGCTTTTGTCAAAGTGCACTTTTTGTTTTTTCAGGGTTCTGGCTCTCACTTCCCTATAGGATTTAAAAAAATGTATATTATATTAATGTTTATTACCATCGTCAGCAGTAGCATCATCTTCATCACCAATAAAGTCATCAACGTCATCATGATCATTATCATCATCAAAGTCAGGCTAAACATGATGAAGATATCATGATGAACATGATCATGATCCACAATAGCCACAACACTATTGTAATCTAAATATATCATCATCATCATCAACATCTTCAACTTCAAACCAAACCACTACCACTCTACCATACTCGCAACAAATATGACACCACCAGACCGTTTTCAGTTCTTAAAATAGAAATGTTAGATATATTTTACACCTCGTTCAAGATTACGACTGAGATACAGTCACTTTGAAATAAATACAATTCAATTTTGAGCACATTTCTCAAATATTTTGTGCAAGAACAATGTACAAGTTAGAGATCATTGAAAGTATTCGTATACAACGTCCGTTAAGAGCCAGAAGGGCCCAATGCCAATGTTAACGCTACTGGTTAACGCCCTTCTGGCACTCAGGAAAACAGTCTTACATAGACAGATAGATGTGCAAGAGTCGACATTAATCAAAGCTAGTTGCAATGAACGACTTCCGCTGAACACCATATTGCAATAACCGACAGTCATTGTTCAGAGTTGTGAAGTTATAAACAGTTTTATGTACAAAAATATGGGCATTCATCACTTTGTATCAATTCTATCAAATCAAATTTATCTCTGATGTGTATTATGAAGTTCAGAATACACTCTACATGAGTGTCGAGAATTGTTATCATTTAAAAAAAAATATATAAACGACTGAGGAATGACAGCATTTACGTAATATATCTCACAGTTGTAATCTGAATATTTAAATATTAGGCCTACATTGAATTTCCCCCAAACTTGATTGTGAAGTCAAATATTTAAACGGACCGAGGAGTTGAAAAGGCGCTTTCGAACTTGTGTTTACTCACGCTAGGTTGAAACCTGATTGTCATATCTGTTTAAAAAAAAATGAAGCGCGCTCATCCTCGGCCCCCCTTTTTAGGTATACTTCAGAGACTCTTCTGATAAAAACTGCTGTAAGGTGCAGTTGGTCTAGCGGTCGGTACTTTTGGGATTAACGTGTGTTTGAATCCTTGTTGAGAATTCCAGTTAGCAATATATCATGCAATCCCATCCCATATACTCTTTGCAATGAGTAATTTTGTAAGTATAAGAGCTTCAAATTTGGGCACAGATTTGAATTACATCGATTGAATATGATAGTTGGATTGATATAAAAGGTTTAAATCGCGGTTCTATTGCAAACCCTGACAATGAACACATATCTACACAGTTTACATTATAAAAACACGATAGTACACTCTTGGAGAGAAGAAACTAGACTGGTTAAACGATTTTAGTTTCAGAGGTACATAGGATTTTCAAAACCCTACCTCCTTAAACCCTCCTCATTTTTAATACATACATATATATTATTTGGGGGAGGGGGTTGCTTGTAAACTTTCACTAACATGGTATGCAGAGATGCAAGTAGAACCATGGAATAAGCACTTTTTAGTTTAATGTATTAGGTGCACCTTTAAAAAGTTGTAAATACCACCATCTGCGATGCAATACCATATCAACTGATACATTCATACTCGCTTGTCAAAATTAAATCATGGTTTTAACGAGCCTTTCCACATTAAATGTAATTGTGTGAAATGTGGAGCGTGCCGTTGTTGCAACCGAGGCCAGAATTTAGGTCGTGACATGAATTACAGTTTCTTGCATTTAATTTAGACTGCTTCCTAAAAGCTTTGACCTTCATCTTTTAACAACATGCCCTAGCTTTAAGAGAACATTATCTTTTAAATAAATTTTTCGTTGAAAATGACTAATCTTGATAAAGAAAGAAAGAAAACAGGGAAGGAGGGTAGAGAGAGATAGAGAGAAATGAAGGGGCGTGGGGTTATTACATACAGATGAGGGGCATCATTATGTATCGTGATGGGGTTTTCTTTTGATTTAAAATGTTCATGTGTACCCTTCGTAAGTAAAATTCGTCCAGTTCGTGAACAAGTCAGTGTTGGCGAAAGTGGCGGGGTGGGTGGGTAATACTTAACACCATTAAGGGCGTACATTTATCAAATTCGTCTGCTTTATGTCAACAGGAAAGAAAAAAGTACTTCCTGTTCCAATTATGTCATTTTCGTATAATTAGTGTATAGTAATATAATAGTAATATAATATGAAAGTGGCTTTTGTTTAGTACCGTCAGACGTGAATACATTAATATCCAATTCGTCTGGTTCAAGAACGCAAGAAATATAGTCTTGTTGTCAGAGGAAAGATATACACGAATGCCGCCTATAAAGATATTAAAGCGTTCTTGCTTGTCAGGTGGATGGTCAGTGGTTACGGACGAATTGTCAAGTTTATACCCGCGGCGAGAAATCTTGATTCATGCTACTGTCAGTAGAATGGTTGTTGGTTGTTATTTTTTTTTACCTGACTGCTAAGAAAGCATAAATGCTTGTAAGTAAGCAACCAGACGGCCGACGGCTTTAGGTCCTCTCCGAGGGACCTGGTAATGAGGAGTAATGCCTTACCAAAGGGCACTAACGCATCGACTTAGTTTCGAACCCGGGTCACCGGATTACGAGACCACTGCTCTATCGCTATCGCGCCTCCTCGAGTAGAGTTAGTCCAACTGACGTCACATTTTTTACCTGCATGCTCTGGTCTGGTTTATAGAGAAACCGAACTCTATACGCAAAGGCCGATCGGGGATTGTCTAAAGGGCCGCATGCAAAATCTTGTTTTAAAGTCGATACTCCCTCAAAGAGTGGCAGGCCCCAGGAAATCATGCTCGCAAGATTAAAATGTCAAAAATGATAGGTGAAGCAGTTTAAAGGCACAATTAATAAAACAAACTTTATAATAGGCAATATACATAGTGCTAGACAGATTTATTTTGGAGGAAAATTTTTGATAATTTGTTTTTTCATGCGAAAAAGTCAACGATAGTAGGTCGATTTTTTTTAATCGTCACTTGTTATATATTTCATTTACAAATGTTTAAGGATATTAACGGTCATGAAAATTCACTGTTTACCTACAATTGTGATGTGTCGTTTAATTGTGTATTCATGCGTCGTCGCGTCGTCCAGTCAAAGTCGTTGTTGTAGTTTGTCGTCATAATGGTGCGTGGTGATGTTATGATACCTTCTTCAAGAGGGATACAGAATTAAAAGAGAGAGACAGATGGAGAGAGAGAGAGAGAGAGAGAGTAGGGGCGAGCGGGTCAAACTTCATTACAACTAGTCAAGCATTCTCGATATATTGATGCATGTAATGTCAGTTTTCTTCATCGTACATCTTACTATTTTTTTTTTTACTTTTATCTTAATATATGTCGTAAAATATCCCTTTCTTTCAGTTTACAACGGTGAACTATTTCAAATGTAGTCCGTGTCAGTCACTCTCGTGATATGAAAAATATTAAACATATACAAATTACTATTTCTATCACACTGATGATGCTACTCAACTGCTCATTTTAACCGATATAACAGATATTAAAGTACATACACAAAATAAAACGCTAAATATTGCGAACTCGTTGATCACTTTCTTATCCACAGACCAACATAGCCTATAGTGCTGTCAGGGAAAAAGATGTTTTTGGAGAGCAGCATAATGTCCTTCACTAGAGACTTTTAGATTTGCACGACGAGAACGTGGACTGCTCGTGTGACGTCCTTTAAAGGCAATGTGACGTCACTGCCAGTCCCTTAAAAGGACGTCACATTGCCTTAAAAGGATTTTCGCAGTCCACGTTCTCGTCGTGCAAATCTAAAAGTCCATAATAACGTGACGACGTGACAACGTGACTGCTGCATGAGTGGACACGTCGGATCTTAGAGCCAGGATGCAAATTGGTTTAGTACTGCTACATGAACAATCATCGTTTTATGTTGTAGTAAAAAAGAAATTGCGATGCAATTTTCGCAATACAAAAAATATTGAGATAAAAACGATGCTTTAAAATAATAATACTACGTTAAGGATATAATCAAGTTTGAGTAATTTGAAGAACAAAAGCCGGATTGTTTTCATGCTCGGAACCATTACTATGAGAAACTCTGATTCACATGTTCTTATATCCCTGCCAAAGAGGATGTTCTTAAATAGTCGCATGTCTATGTATCATAACATAATCGTAAAAAACGCCATAAAAATGTATTTCAATAATTCTCTCACACATATTAAGTACCAGTGTGAACATGCTGACAAACAACATTCCGAATGAAGGAAAAAGCATACAACCCCACAGTTTCGTCTTTGCTTTTGAATAGCACTGCTTTTCCTAATAATTTTAGATGAAACACGTAATCGTCGCACCAAACAAAATAACACACATTGTAGTAATAAATATTTACAACTCGCTGCGTGCAGCAGTGATTTGAAAGACACTTAGAATGCAAAACAGTTATTTACATCAGGAATACTTATATCTCAATAAATAAATCAATTACGATAAATTAGGAAATATACAGACCACATCATTTTTTCACTGTGTTCACTAGTTAAAATTTAGAGAATTGTAAGTTGGATAAAAGAATAAAGTGAACTGTCATCTTACACGATTTTTAATTTTTTTTTTAAATAGATACTACTAAATCTAATTCTCTAAAACATGCCGAAAGGCGCAAAAAGGGTAGTGTTTATTGACAAAAGAAGGAAAATACTTATTGTGGTAAAATTAGAAAATCAAAATCCTCCGTGAGGAACCATTTGATTATAATATCTGTGATTTAAATAGTTTTATGGTTAATTCAATGAAAAGCAAATGACGAGAACGAAGTTGTGACTATGCCCGTTTAGAGTCCTCGAATCATTTTCCCAAACAGTCAAGGTATTGCAAAGTTCATTTTTCCCGAGATAATAATTACTCAGAGCGACTTCAAACGATGTCCAAAGTCGAGTCCTTCTGTTGGCTACCACAGTTCAAGCCTTTCCTAAAGCATTAGTGGACATTGTTGTTACGGAGGTATATATACCCATTCGGGTTTGCTCCGTTAGTGCGTTTCACCGAGTCTGCGTTATTGATGGACCGCATCGAGTACTGTGTCATTTGCGTCGAGTTAGAGAGACTCGAACCGCGGTCACGCGTCGACGTGAAGCGGTAATTTCGCAGCGGTAAACGCGGCGTTGGGATGCGGGTGCAACACATGGTGAAGGCGGTCTTGATGACTTTTCTGAAGCTTCGCGACATGAGGGCGTAGACCACCGGATTTATAGCGCTGTTGGACATGGCGAGAAGGTGGAAGGCGAGAGAGAGCAAGATCTTGGCCTTGTGACTGAACGTCACGTGGAGACTGATGATGTGCATGAACATCAGAGGGCCCCAAAGGAACGCGTAGGTAACCACCAAGATGCCGAGGAGAACCATGACCTATTCGAAGATAAATAGATGGAGAGAGAAAGAGAGAGAGAGAGAGAAATCGAGAGAAATCGAGAGAGAGAGAGAGAGAGAGAAAGGAGGGGTGTGGTTGAGACAAATTATTTCATTAAATCCAAGTTAACTGATGTGGATTCTTTTTTTGTACTAGTGTATTGGTTTATTGAGATTTTTTTTTTAAATCGTCGGACATGCAGCTATAAACTAAAAGCTGAGATTGTTCAATTTACAGAGTAAAAAGTACATGGCATAACAGTACATTGATAACACATTAAAATATATAACACTTAACAAATATTGTGTTTAATTAAATACGATTTACAATTTCCATTGATAATATAAAATTGCCATAATTTTACATAAAATAGAAATTCGATAATTAGTAATTTACAGGTTTATTGCAACAATGACATGCAGGTGGGAAAAAACGTTAGATGTTTATACAGATAAAATACTATACAAATGAAGATATTAAAGCTATCATTCAATATTGGTTAAACAAGGTGATGTTCCTGAACTCAACGAAATTGGCAAATTAATCTTACATCAGAAAGTACAAAGTGAAGAATCCTTGAATGCATTGAGTATAGTGATGATAAAGAAATGACAGATCTAGGGGAGGGGGATTAGGGGGCTTAACCCCCCCCCCCCTTGAGCTGACAAAAAGAAAGGAAAAAAGGATTTTTTTTTTTTTTTTTTTTTAAATGTCGGGGGCCAATTGATTTTTTTTTGTAGTGCTTCCCCCCCCCCCCCCACCCACGATATATTGGTCGGCAATTTTTTGAAATTCGGGGGGCAAAATGAAGGAAAAAATGTAGTACTCACTACCCCGCCCTCCCCCCCCCCCTTAACTTAAAAACGTAGTTCGGAACTGAAACTTTCTGTATCTTATCTCTTTCCTCGATTGCATCTCGGTTCAATTCTTCTCTCGAAAATGTCAGTCTCTCTCATTTTCTCTCTCTCTGCCCCCTGGCTCTCTCTGTTTGCATCCGTGTCTATACCTTCCTCTCTTTGTCTCCCCCACGGCACTTCTTAAAAATGTGTCTTATCCCCGATTTCTGTAAAATTTAAATGTCTAATTTTTTGGGTATTTTCCTCTGACCGCCCCTTTCATATTTCTTTAGTATAAGTTAGATGGGAACCATATAAATCTGTCTTTCATTTTCTTCGTCTTAACCTCTTGCCATCTCCTCATCTCTTTCTCTCCTTTTTGCCGTATCACGCTTTAGCTTCCAGTAAGAGACTTACTCCTCTCTAGAAATCCTTAATTTTTTTGTGGCAGCTATGTTCATACTAACTCCGTCGAGAGCCTTTTGGGCGTCGATCCTTTTATAAACTTACCGCCTTTCTACATTTTATAACTGCGAAACCGTTGCAGGTATATACGCTCAACTCTCATTTTCTCACTTTCTCTCTCTTGTTCCTTTACATTATGTGATGTTTAGATATCTGTAGTGTTGAACACTATACAGTGACAGTTGATAGCGATCACTAGAACCAAGCAACACAAAGCGATATAATCTGGTGTAACGACAGATACGGTTCCCTTGGCGGATTCGGTTTCGTCATAACATCCACTCGGTGTATCCGGTGGTCTTGACGAAATAATCGTCACCGATGTCAATACACTAACCGCATATGAAGCAACCGCTGCAGGGATGCCGGTTGTATTTCGGTTGTACTCATAGTCCCCCCGCAGAGGCAGACCCAGGATTTTGTAAAAGAGGGGGTCATAATCTGAATTTCTGACAAGCATGACATTTAAAAGACCCCACCCCTCACCCCTCGCCCCCAAAAATATAACATTAATAAATCAGCACTAAAAAAGAAAAAGAAAAGAAGGGGCATTCCTGGAGTTGCCACTTGGGTGTCAAAAAAAGGGGGGGGGGCACGAGACGGCTGTGTCTCTACCAGCAGCATAGATGTCTCTATATCATTAGAGTTGGGTTGCGTTGATCACATTTGGGCTACTTGTTACGCCTGACCAGGACAAATTGACATGGCTTCTCAAGCCAAATGTTAAGAAATTGGATTGGGAGTTTTAGTGGATCTGGCGGAAGTCACAAAGGAACCTCTACGGCCGATAATGACTTTGAAGAACAAAATTTAAAAAAAAATGTATTTAGGAGAGACTGATTGAGGGAGAGTGAACTGAATAACGTTTGAGATTTACTGAAGTCACAATTGGGGCTGAAGAAAGGAAAATGACTTCGATAGAGAATATTCAGTAAAGAAAAAGAGACAAAAGAAACAAAAGGGAAGAGACAGAAAGAGAAAGAGAGGGAGGGGGGGGGGGGGTGTGACACAGTCACAATTATAAGTTCCAAAAAGAGTTTATAATTTTGCATTTGATATTAGGTCTTTAAATAAAAATATTGATAATCTTAGGTTGTTGTATGAAGAATGCATCAAATCTCAATTTCATTTAATTGGGTTTTCTGAAGTTTGGAATGCATCATGTGCAGATGTTCTAGGGATGGAAGGGTATCCTTAGGAATTTAACTGTAGGGGCCCTGACATATGGGGAGGTGTTGGAGTTAATGCCCTTTCTTCTTTAAAATATTTATATACAATTTTATTTGGAAGATACTGTACTTTATAGGTTTCGGACATGATTAGCATTTTATGCTATTTTCTGGTCTCGTTTATCCATTCAAGGACTTTGTTAAACATGCATTTGTTATTGTTATTATTGTTCTATTAATGTATTTTAACGTTTGGACAATAAAACCTCAAACAACGGTGGAGAAAGGAGGTACAGAAACGGAGAGAGAAAAACAGTCGGACAAACAGACAAGGATTAAACAAAAAACGGGGAAATGGGTAAAGAGAGCATGCAGAGGGAAAGACGGATGGTTTAAATCCCTTTATACTGTATAAAGGCGTAGCCTGGAATCGAACCGGGTACATTTGAATTGTGAAGCGATGCCTTATCCACAAGACCACTTTGCCGCTTTGCTTTTATCTGGGTCGCTTTAAGTTGTTAACACTTTAGGGGGAAGAAAAATGAATAAAAATAAGACGGGAAGGCGTAGCCGGGATCGAACCGAGTACATTTGCATTGTGAAGCGATGTCTTATCCACAAGACCACTTTGCTCCACTGCAAAATAACAGGTTCGCTTCGAGTTGTTAACACTTTCTGATGTTAATTGCTTTACAAAATATGACGATTAACTGCTTTTAATCCTTTGTTGAGGAGGAGGGGATGTCCCCCTAAAAAAAAGAGATGGACAAGTCAATATGAAGAAAAAAAATTATGAAAATAATACGAGCTATAAAGGCGTAGCCGGGAATCTAACCGAGTACATGTGCATTGTTAAGCGATGCCTTATCCACATGACCACTTTGCCTCACTGCTACTATCTGGGTCGCTTAAAGTTATTAACACTATACGGGGAAGAAAAATTAATGAAACCAAGACGGGAAGGCGTAGCCGGGATCGAACCGAGTACATTTGCATTGTGAAGCGATGTCTTATCCACAAGACCACTTTGCTTCACTGCAAAATAACAGGTTCGCTTCGAGTTGTTAACACTTTCTGATGTTAATTGCTTTACAAAATATGATGATTAACTGCTTTTAATCCTTTTTTGAGGAGGAGAGATGTACAAGTCAATATGATCAAAATATGATAACAATATTACGAGGTATAAAGGCGTAGCCAGGAATCGAACCGAGTATATGTGCATTGTGAAGCGATGTCTTGTCCACATGACCACTTTGCCTCACTGCTATTATGTGAGTCGCTTTAAGTTGTTAACACTATACAGTACCTTGAAAGCAAAATGATGTTCTATCAATGTTGTGCCCTTTCAACACAATACTAATGGCTACGCCCACAAACACTTTACAAGCCATTTAAAACATGCGGGCCGAATTATGCCAACGGTCGCACTCATTTGGGTACTACTTAGGAATGAATACTTAAAGGACAACCGTCAACAATTACAATGTCCCATATTTTCTTTGATTTAATTTAATTCGATGTACATACCTTAATCATGTAAATCGAATCTTCAGATCGTTTATGCCTTTTGGCTTTAAGCTTCTAATGATGTAACATTTCCAACATATTATGTTCTTAAAAGAAAAGGCCTTATGTTCCATTAATAAGATTCCAAGGACTAATACCATGATTCCCGTGTTGGAAGCTGCTTTACCATTTTTGAAGCTGCCTTATAGATTCGATGAAGTCAATTTTAAAGAGAAAACAAAAAAGTCAATGCAGCTTTGATTTTATGGAATGTTTTTAAATCAGATGTCCTACATTTTACTGGTTTCACAAACATATTAATGAACGGCAGCACAATGTTCATTAATACACGAAGTTAAATGTCACCAGACTGGGTGGCGAAATTAAATCCACCATTATTGTGCGATGCTAAGTGCATGAACCCGTTGGCTGTAAAATGCTACATGTAAGTGTTTTCAGTGATGTGTATTAAACATCGAGTGCGAGGTCGAAACTCCCGCTGGAGATACACGATTTTGTTAGCTTGGTCTTTTTGAAGCGTATAATAGGCGGTGAAGTTAAATTAAAGTTGATCAAACGGAGAGTTAATAATGTGGTATGCAGGAAATAAGTGTAATAATAAGATTGCAATGGCAAAATATACCTTGTTCTTCAAAGTGACATATATCAATGCATTTAAAGATTAAGATAATAGATTGAAAATCATATCATGATTATACGTATACGAAATATAAGTATATCATACGGTGTTTATGACAGAATATCATCAAAATTGGGCTACGTGTTTCACCATTTTTTAACCATCCGCTTATTGATTCATAAATTCATTTATATCGTTAAGGCCGCTGAAAAATATCCATGTACTCGATTAATATTTAATGATCTTTAGAATGTATAAATAATTTCAATACTTGATATTCCGCGACGTTTGAAAATGTAAGCGCGCGTGTGGTGTACTTTCTGTTCTTTCGGAACTTAATGCTGTGAAACATGTACCCTCCTCGTGCCTCTGGCGTTTAAGGTGTGCCTCTACCCCTCTTGATTTCAAGCACCCTGGGTCATTCTACCCCTCTAGTTGGATCCACTTCATTCAAATTTGACCCTTCTGTCAATCGGCGATGGTAAACCGTCGACCAAACTATCCCACCATAAAGCTCAAGATACTCGCATTCGCTTCGATTCTTTCCAACATGCTATCCTCATATTTCCGCCATAGTATCCGAAAAGAAAGTGCACCTTAGGTGAAAAAGATGTAATTCGTCACTGTTCGCCCTTTTATCTCAACGGAAAAGTTCGATTGAATCCAGCCTTTTTACATTTCAGGTGATAAAATAATGTTTATTCGCTTATTTCCTACGTTTATTTCCTGCGCCCCTTGATATTGCCTCGGGGTAGCAGCATTAATACCAGGTTCTGCAGAGGTCGAGGAACTCGTGTCTTGTATTTGTCGACTTAAGGGTGTTAACCCTACTTTTTGAGAGAGATGGGTGTGAGAGTATCATCAATGCACACCCGCCCCCGAGTGATGTAGCTACATGGACATGCCCTGAAGTGTGTGACGCTTTCCCGAAAATAGACCAATAAGATTACGATTATTAGATCAGGACATTTCAAAAGTGTTTGATTCGAATCCTAAGCGGATTATGTAGTGCCCATACAAGCACGTGCACAATCTGTTACCTATTGAAGACTTTTTTCTTCTTTCAAGTCATTCTTAAAAGGGTCGGCAGTTTGAATGTTGTGTTTTAAGAAAAAATAGAACGTATGGCAACTTATACGTTTGGGATTAGGGATAAGGAAGGGAAACAATATAAACATGTCCCAATTTTATTATCGTTTGTCGTTCCTGCCGATTTTGAAGAAAACAAAGTTGTGATTTATTTTGTTAAATAAACAATATATAAATTGGGCACCTTTTCACTAAAGTCTGAGTATTCAGGTTTCGTGGTTTGCTTGACTAGTAAGTTTTTCTTTAAAAAAACCCAACAAATCTGACAAACCAGTGTTAAAATGGTGCTTATCTTAAATTTTTAAAAATTAAATACTGCGACGTGCCCCATATAAATCAAATGAAACAAGTTTATGTTAATAAACCTCTTACTGATTAAATACCAAAATTGAGGACCTTTGATGACATTTTTCGTAGCATTATACGAAAGTGAATTGTCAGACACTATTTCTCCATCACTTTTTTTACCTCTCACAATTTTTCTTTCTCTCCCCAGTTTTTTTTTCTCTCTCTCTCTCTCTTTCTAATTTCTTTATCTTTTATTATTGCACTTTTCTCTCTCACTGCCCCCTCATTATGTTTTTCCCCTCTCTCTTTCAGAAATTCAGGTTCTATCATGTCCTATCCAAGGTCTCCCGGCTCTTTTTCTTCATTTTCTACCTCTTACCGTCAATCATGCAGTTATCATGTAACGTATTTTTGCTTTATTGTAGCCTGCTTATAATTACCATAATAACAAAAAGTGTCCTTGTTTTTAACGATGTACATTTTAGAAGAAAAAAACGACGTGCCCAAAATCAGTTCCCATTACTCAGATTTAATTAGAAATCCATTATCAGGCATCGGGCCCTCTTCATTGACATTTCATTGCAATTATGGGCACAATTGAGAGCGCGACTTCAATTACGAAGGCTAATCATACGCTTTGGCCCTATTTTCACAGCGAAGCTATTGAAAAAAATATTCTAATGGGTAATTTGGACATAGAAACTGTGACTATTGCACTGGCGAGTAATTACTGGCTAAAAGCTAGGTATACACCGGTTTTAATACCTTGTCAAATAGTGTTTGAACGAGCTCAGCAAGGGACGAGCAAAGGCGAAGGCTGTGTTGACTTAATCATCTGGTCGATTCGACAGTTCAACATCATTTTATTGTAATAAAGAGATTTCGTCTATTAAAGCCCGGAAATAGCCCGCCGGAGCAAAAGTGATAGCTGTCGCATATACTGAAGGCTCTTGCCCTTCGACTAGAAGTCAATTTTGATATCCTTTTAATGGTGTTCTAGAATGCGTTGTAGGTTTGAATTGGTGGATAATGCCATTGAAGGTCAAAGCCAGACGCGGTGTTAAGTGGGGGGGGGGGGGGGGGTAGGTCACGTATCCCCTGCAAACTCATTTACAGTCGGTTGCTGAATTAACAATGTAGGATCGGGTAACACAAGGTTTGCCCCACCCCTAAGACTCTGGCGCCAGCCCTGGTTAAATACATTACTCCAATTAAGCTTCCATATCTATATTGGGTGATTCCATACACAGGCGATTCCATGAATGGGTGCTAAATACGGACAACGTGGAGACCACATTATATGCGAAATCGTTCACTATCAGGTATGTAATGTCAAGTAATCGGTTAGGTACTCTATACTTTGCCGCCGCCCCCCCCCCCGATTAGTCAAAACATAATTACCTTGGGCTAAACTCTCCAGCGTGATTCTTCTGCGGTGCGCCTAGGGTCGCTGAGCGAACACGCACGTGATCGCACACAGTACACAATGTTACAAAGAAAATTCCAATCCCTATAAAACCATACACATCTGCATCCTACTTCACTTGTGAACTTTGTATAATCGTGGTGATATCGGTGAATGCGAAGAATAAAGAGAATAGTATAAACTGGCCGATTGATTGCACTTTTTTTAACTTGCCGCTACCGTGTTTCTTTAAAAGTAGGGACTTTTAGATTTGCACGACGAGAACGTGGACTGCGACGTGTGACATCCTTTAAGGCAATATGAAGTTCTTTTAAAGCACTGGCAGTGACGTCACATTGCCTTAAATGCATGGGTGTCACACGAGCAGTCCACGTTCTCGTCGTGGAAATCTAAAAGTCCCTATTGACATTTTACATTACACGTTGGTAAATATGGTAACAAGGAATTTCTTTGTCATAGTGTGTAAGAGACACTATGAACATGACGGACAAAGAAAGAGGACAAAATATACAGTTCCTCATTCTACCCTCAACAATTGCTGTGGTAGACAAAGGAACATCCCTTCACTGCTATTGTGTAAAAATGTGTAGAGCAGGTGAATATGCATGTGACACCTGTTCTACACATTTTTACATAATAGCAGTGAAGGGATGTCCCTTTATCTACCTGAGGAACTGTATATTTTGTCCTCTTTCTTTGTCCGTCATGTTCATAGTGAGAATCATACATCCATCATTATTGAATACATCTTACCCGCTTTCTCTCCTGCAGAGTTGAATGCATCCTACTTTTACGTTTCCCACCGCCTTTCGTGTTGGACGTCGCATCCCCACTCGGTCCGGTGCTCGTTCCGCCGTGCGAGACCACGGTGCTGATCTCCGATTCCATGCCGCAGCTCAGTCTTCCCGTACTGGTCGCCCCGCCTTTCGAGCTCCGAACGCCGTTGTTGTAGACGCCCTTGGTGAGATTCACGCTCTGCATGGTTCGCGTGACACGGCTGCTACGATGGAGGGTTATGATTACCCGGATGTTGCAGAAGAGCATGCCGATAAGGGGGAGGCCGTAGAGTACCCCTATGAAGAAGCTTATCTTAAGTACCGTGCCGGTGTACGTTGTTGTTTCCCGATTGCACACGTTGTAAAGTTCGCCCCCATAATCAACAACGGAATATGACTACAAAGCAAAAAACACAGAATTAATAAGTGGTAATAATTAACATTTCTTCTTCATTATTAAAAAGGTCTTTCGTCACGTACGAGCGTACTTATACTATAAACAGAGGTTTAGCCAACCATTCATGGATTTAAACATGTTTTTATAAATGTCTCCATGTCACATAATCATACTGTGCTTTCAAATGCTTTATAAAGTGGCATATTTTATGAATATTTTGTGGACGTAGCACCGGCCCGGGGGGGGGGGGGGGGGGGGGGTACTCACATACTAAGATATACGGGGATGTACCGCTCTAATGGGTCCAACAAAATTTTAGGTGTTTGTATGGCGACCACCCAAAATTTGTGAAAATGGGTACCTTTTTCTGCCAAGATGACCCTTAAAAAATGGGTTGGGGGTTTTGAGGCTTGACCGGCAAACCGCCGTCAAAACCAAATCTGAGGGCCCTTCCAGCCGGGCAAATAATCAATTCTCAATATCTTTTTCAAAATTTCTACCACATGCTTCCCAATAAAACAAGAATGGACATTTTGTAGGCCTACGGTCTATGTGAAAATGAATGTTTCAGTTTCAGTTCTTTAAAAAACACTCTCGTTCGACCCGTTGCTATGACACTTTTAAGAGCACACCGTTGACTCGGAGAGTTAATCATTATAGCCCCTAAAGCAGAAAATCTGAGCCCGCTTCAGCTCTCGACTTCGAATGAGCAATCTGTTAGACTTTGCACTTTGCTTGATGAAAATAAATTGATGTAAAGAAGAAAAATAGAGAACTTAAAAAATGATATAGGGAGTAACTATGGATGTTAACGAGAAGACGTATTTGAATCAGTAGAGCGTCTGTCTGTTAGGGAAGTGATACTCTACGATCTTGACACTTTAAAGATCCGCTCGTATTTATGGTAAAGATTCCGGGAGCCACCACCACCTCATGCAGTGGCACACCTTCAAAGCCGAACCAGTATACAGGCAGGTAAAAACTAATAGTTGAATTCTGGGGTGGTTATATATTTTATTAAGTTTCTCTCGGGGTTCCTCTTTCAATTTCAGAGAAAGAAAACACCAAATGCTTTTATTGGTTCCTTTGTATATAGCCATGAATTTGTCGTCAACTTTTTGTAGAATAAGAGAATTCGGAAGATGTTCCTTCAGTGGGGCCTGTTCCACGCACACCCAGTTGATTATAGATTTTGCCTTAAATGATTGAACAATTGCACGGATCTTTAAATGACGAACATTATTTTATACTCACTGTGAATGGTATCGAAACTAATGACAAGAGAATCGCTATTAGCCACGTCACATTCACGATAATCAACCCCATCTTTTTCGTGAGCAAAACTTTGGCTTGTAGCGGGTGGATGATGACAATGTACCTGGAAAATACAAATCAGCAAAGCAAGGATTCATTATAAACGTAAAATGGGTTTAGATTCATGCTTTAGGTTCAATCTAAGACATTTGTGATTGAACAAAGCACATAATATGAGATCTGCACTAAATCGCGGACAAAATATATTAATATCTCCCATAGGTGCCCTCTAAAGATCGCCATAGTTGTAACACAATATAATAGCTGAGAACTTGATAAGATTTGTAAGTGGATAATATATGTATCTTCATACAATCAAAACTACACTTACCACTTTTTTTGTTTGTTTTTAGTGTGTGCTTTGTATATATGCATTAAAATCAAAGAAATATGAGCCCTGCGTCTCGTGAAGGCCAGAAGGGCATTAGACCTTTGCAAATAAGTAACTTGAAAAAGCGCCCTCTTAAAGTTCGACATAAAATTCTTCACTTTCAGCGCTACTGACGAGAAGAAGTGCGTTCACTCTTATGCAAAAGGACTTTCAGTTGACGCCCTTTTATAAGTTTGTATAACAATAACAAGTCATATTGAAATCATCTTCTTGCCTTTCAGCGCTAATGACGAGCAGCATTATCGCCGAAGAAGCCGGGCCGAGGAACCAGAGGAAAGCCACCATATAGCAGCCGATAAACCCGAATTGCCAGCTGCCATGGTAGCTGCTGTAGAGCTGTATAGGGATGAAGACGGCGGCGAAGAGGAGATCGGCAAAGGCCAAACTGCACAGCATCATCGAGGTGAAGGAGATACGACGGTAGGTGCGGAGAATGCTGAAGATGACGACCAGGTTTCCGACCAGGCCGATAGCGATGATGATGCCGTAGATTGTGAAAGATGTGATGTTTACCGCTCTGTAGTGAACAGAAAAAGGCAGAAAAGATATTGAACCGTCAGGGAAATGATCTAGGCTGCCTGTTGCACACGAGCTGTTATCCCAGTTGCGCTTTGTTTATTCTTCACATAATTTTATGTCTGTATTAAAATTGTGATTTCAATCGCAGAAGTGCAATGTTAGGTGGAAAATACATTAAGTTTGCTCCATTTCACTACTCCAAAATTTTCAATTACAATGGTGTTTTTAAATACTTGCCAGCACTATGGGGCGTAGGTTAAAATAAATAAAAACAGATTTTTCAATTGCATAAGCGCCCTTGTTCGAAGACAAGCGCAGTTAAAATCGTTCAACTAAGAAATATCTCGATAATTTGCCCGTAAACCTCCCACGGGTTACAGTAATCGAATGATCGAAAGATCAATATGAGACGCAAGGCACGTCTAGACGATAATTATGACGTCACAAAAGGAACTTCCATATAACTGACTCTGTTTAATGATGTCATCCGCCGCACAGACAGCAATTTACACACCTCAACATTTAAAAAGAAGTTAGATCAGGTGGAAAATATAGGATTTTCCGGCCACATTCACGAATTAGTCATTTAAATTAATTTGTCTTGCGTTCAAATTCGACGGTTTTAGTGCTGTCAGATATATCTTGGGATTATATTCATTTTTCTAGTTTTCAAATCTATGAAGTTTTCGTTGGAATCTATGTATGCTTCATTCAAATTAATGAATAATGTGCTTCTTTCGCTATTTGGTCATTCAATTTGGTGCAACACGATTTCTGACATCGCGAAGGTGTACTTTTAGCATTCGAATTCATTTGTAGCATTCAAATTAGCACTTTGTGCACTTAAATTGATAGTCAATATACATTTCTCGTTTATTACACACTTTTTATAGCTCATTCTTCTCTTTCAAGATTGTTTTTGTCCATGTGTATTTCATCATATTTTATTTTCCCAATATTTTTGTAAATTTTTATGTAAGGAAGTTGTTTGTTTTGTGTTTCATCATCAATTTATCACAATTTCATTATGGAGGAAGGGTACAATATTGTGACTGGGGTAGGTTTTTTTTTGTATCCCCACTTTTCCGGGGTATATGAACATGTCTGTGCAGAAATGCCATATAATTTGATTTCGCCCCTTCTTTACCCAATGTCTCACTAAACCCATATGCATTGTCCTCAAAATTAATTAGTGAAATAAGGCCATTAACAAAAATATACATGTTTAGCGTCCCCGCCCGCTTCCTTTTTGGGGGCCGCCTTCTATTTTTTTTTTCAAGAAAAAAAACATGAAAAACACTGCTAAAATGGATCTATATATGATTAAAAAAAATAAAAATAAAAAATGTCGTGGGCCATCTTTAAAAATAGCCCGACTGTCAGGGCAAACGTACCGAGCGGCCATTTCGAGCGGCCATTTTGAAAGAAAAATAAAAAATAAAAAAGGGCCTCCTCCTTCCTATTTCTCGAAAAAAACAGGACGCTAAACATGTTGTTTTTTATTATTTGGCCTAACAGAAAAGACCCTAATGGCAAATCATGCATTTAATTGTTTTTTTCCTTCAAACTGTAAACGTGTGTTGCATTTCTCCCCCCCTAACATTCCTAATTTGAATAAACATAATTCGAATACGAATGACAGGTGCTAATTTGAATGATAAAAATGACGCCTCGACAAGTGACGATTAATTTGAATGCTAGTTGAGCAGCTTCTAAATTGAATGACAGATCTATCCAACCCTTCGACCAAAATTCTAAATTGAATACCAAAACGGGAAAATTGAATGCTAATTGGCATGGCAAAGCCAATCTGCGCTAACTTAAATGCAAAGTAAATGAATTCAAATGACAAACTAGCGAATTTCGCCGGAAAATCCTATAGTTTGTTAGCTTCCCATTTTTGTTTTCCAACGTGAAAAAAATAGCATACAGCCAATTAAGATTGCTGTGGGAAAGCTGTGATGTTTCAAATAACTATGACTAGAAATGTTTTTCGACATTATTAGACGAACCTATAACCAATTGTTTTGTCCTAAGTATCATACAAGTTTTCAGTTCATTGTTGTAATTGTTCAGCAAAATACAGTTATTTTGAATTTTGATGATAACAAACCTTGGGGAATATGTCGGGAAAAAAGTCACAATTCAATATTGCATGACACGGACCCATTATCATCCTTTAGCCCAAACAAGGGATGGACTGCTATCTCTCACCATACCTTTCTCTCTCTCTTTTTTAATTTTGAGCAGTATATGAAGGCTGAGCAAAACTCACTGAAACTTATTTCTCTCCGTCCATTTGAAATTTGTTTTTAATCCTGTGAAATTTACACCCCCTGGCCAAAATTCATGATTCTTATCCGACAATAAATTCTTAGTAAAAAGAAAGAAATTTTAGTGCCATGGACAAGCTTACTACCAAAAATCTTTAAATAAACGAATAGTTTGACAAAATGTTACAAATGTGGTTAACGAAATAATGTTACATTACTAGTGTCCTCGACAATAATGCTTACTTTGAAAGTAAATTTTCTTTTGCCTTACCCAAACGAGAAACATTTTGTAAACAAGCGTTAGATAATAAAAAAAAAAAACCAAAACAAACAAACAACGATAAAACATACTTTGCAAAGCCAGCATCATAGTAGTAGCTCGTTTCGTTTGCATCATTATAATCAATATCCGACTGGGACGTCGGCATGCCGCTGGGAGCAGGGCTGGATGAAAGTCTTGCCAGGAGGCTATCCGACGCACTGCCAGCCACTCCTTCTCCGGCTGCATCATTCGGGGCGTAAGCTGGCCCCGTCATGGCGACTGGTCGACCAGACTATGGTTAACGGCAGATAAATCTGACTTTTTCGTCACAGTGTTAGTCTTGTCGTGAAGAAGGTATATGGATCTGAAAAGATGAATATTTGTGACGTCATTACATATCGATCATGTACGAACAAGAACTTAAAATGTGTAAAGCGCATAATACAATTTCTCTTACTTTCAAAGACCGAAACAAGGATACATATTTCTACATTAAATGATCATGATTGCCCCCTAAAGCCACATGGTCTATGGTTTCATTAGTCAGTTGATGCAACGTGGTAGATATACTGTCAATTTAATGTTTGCCTTTCTCGGCTTGCGAGAGTTCATTGGAAAAAGTTTACACAAGGTATTGTATACTTACAGGCTGGATATTTTAACTGCATGAAAAGATTCCTGTTTTTTTCCAAACCAACACCGATGTAACGGGTTGTAGACTAAATAGCCTAAACGGTGATTTAACAAGAAAACTGTTTTAACCCCCCCCCCCCCGACAAAATGAATTTATATGAGCTCAGAGAATATCACATTTACCACAACCCGACTGACGCGTTTCAAAATGCTTTTTCTTTTTGCCTTTACATGCTAAAGGTTAGACATATTTGGCGGTAGATTTTTCATGATTTTGCCGTCGCTTTATCTTTTTTAAACGCCCACTTCACGCATCAACAATATTAATCTCTATGGCAACGTGGAAATCCCCTTCATGTTCCGGACATGTTAATAATAAGAAGCAATATATCACTCTGGATAAAATGTTCCCGCTCCGGTGCAACTCGGGATCCCGGCCTGCGCATTTCCATTTATCATATTCATCCGTTATGGGATTAAGATGATGTTGTAGATGATGTACTAGTCATGTAATTGCATTTTGAAGAAGAAAAACAAATTGTCTATAGAGGTTATTCTGAATAGATGATCATTCGTATAGGAAGTTATTTCCAGTCAGTCTTGCTTGATCTTTTCCTGGAGTTTGCCATGCACTAAACCACACTATTAGCCTTCACCATGTTTATCATAATTCAATTTCTTTTAATGCGATTATTCCACATTATTCAACTCTATGTGAACTCAAGTAAGATCTAAATCCTTCTCTTTGCGACTATTCAACATTTCTCCCTTCATTAACCCAACCTTCTCTTTGAATCGCCGGCAAAGCGGAGAAGAAAAATGTTTTTCACTATGTTCAAGGTCTTAACTAGATGAGCGTGGGCTAAATAAAATTAAATTAAAGGCATTTAAGCAAAACTGCAGGACGTTTATTTAATTATTATGCCAATCACCCACATTCGTGCCGATAATTTCATATCTGGCATTCAAACGCGGATCAATGAGCTGGAAAACGTTTTATCGACGCTTAATTGGAATCGAGTCTATGGAGTTAATTGAGTACTGAGATCGCAAACTGGACGTGAAGGAGAGTAAGGAAAATATGAGGGAAATAGAGAGATAGAGAGAGAGAGAGAGAGAGAGAATGAGAGAGAAAGAGAGCCTGGGAGAAAGCGACAGACAGATATACCAAGAGAATGATTTAAAAAAACAGAGAGATAAAAAAATAATAAGTTTAGGAAGAGAGGAACGAGAGAGAGTAAGAGAGAGAGAGAGAGAGAGAGAGAAAGAGAGGGAAGGGAGAGAGATAGAGAGAGAGAGAGAGAGAGAGAGAAAGGGAGCTGATAATTAAGAAGAAGAATAAAGAGGAAGAGAAAGATAACTCGAATAATAAGAAGTAATTAACTCGACATGATATTGTGAAGCGGCACAGTATTAAAGAGGAAAATCAATGACATGATTAAAGTATTCGCCACCCATAACAATAACATGTCAGTTTAGAACAACAAGTGAAAATTAAATCATTCATTATTTGGATGCAGCAAAATTTGTTTGACATTATCGAACCAGAAAGGAGGGGACAGAGAGGGAGAGGGGAAGCAATAGAGAGAGAGAGAGAGAGAGAGAGAGAGAGAGAGGGGGGAATAGATAAATACAATTAACTGATAAAGCGGTTTCTGAAATTAAAGCAATTTACATAACATACAGGGTTTAATTATTTTCCAGCCATAAAAATTACACAATTAAAAAAACGTATATTGAAATCATTAGTTATTTGGGTGTGGAGCGAAATTGGTTTTTATCTTATCGTACAATCTGATAGAAATAGAGAGAAAGAGAGATAAAATAAAGAGGGAGAGAGAGAGAGAGATGAGGGGTAAGGCAGAAGAATATACTAGCCCAAAGGATTTAAACTGTAACGTGAAATATTGTTATCCATCTGTAACAAGAACATGCCATTTAAAACAACCAAAAATGATTACATCATTTATTTGGGGGGGTTCAGCGAAATTCGTTCGACTTTATTGGTCCAGTGAAAGAAACAAGAGAGGGAGAGAGAGAGAGAGAGAGAATGGTCGTGCAAGAAGAAAGCCGACGGGCAAAGCGGTAATGGCAATAAGGCAATTCGCGCGATTTAATTATTCCTCGCCTATAACAATAACATGCAAATTTAACAAACAAGCAAAGATAATGAACTCATTAATCAACCCTGTGCCGCCGCATGAGTACAATTTACAGCTAATTTGGTTGACGCTAGCCCTGATGTTGAAAATTAAGTGAGCAGTCTCCGGCTCTCTTACAAAAAAATATATATCATTTAATGACAACCTTAATAATTTTCAATATTAAAAGTTGAAGTTTTCATTTTACCATTGTTCTTTGGTCGGAGGCAATAAAAAATCGTTTCTCGGCAGGAGTTCAGCGATGTGAATTTTTTTTCCAAAATCGATTATCATTAAGTTTCGATCGTGATGGTGTTAACATGTTGGGGAAGACGGAAATGCTTCACATCGTGTGGCAAAATGCATTTAAGAATACGTGTGCGTGCGTGCGTGCGCGTGTGTGCGTGTGTGAGCGTGTGCGTGTGTTTGTGCGTGTGTGTGAGACTTTCTTTGCGCCCATAAGTGTAGATTAGGGCCGTATTCATAAAACCTTTCTAAGCCTGGCAAGTAGACCCTATTAAAAAAAAAAAAAACTGGTAACAAGCTTAGAAATATTTTATGAATATGGGGGCTGTACTTCGGCAAACCTTTGAATTTATTGAAAAAAACATAACATTATTTTTGGGACTCGATAAATATGATAATAGAAAAGCCAGCATTTTCTAAACATCTCATGTGTAACGTTTCTTTTACTTCCTTTTTTTCTTCTTTTCAAACTTGCTGCCCAATTTAAGAATGCGCCCATGTTAATGGATATGTGAGGTCATATGAACATACTCCTCTCATATCGCCTACTCCGCGCCTTTCGTCCTTTCTCTGTCTCTCGTGTTCACCCACCCACTCTCTCCCCCTCTCACATGACTCCCTTTCTCACTCTCTCCCTTATCCTTTTCCCTCTCATTTTCATTGATTATTTAGTATTCAGACTATAGTGCACGATCCGCCTGTCACGTCAATCAGAAACAAAATTCTGTATACAACTTTGAAAATCCCACTGATATACATTATGACGATCATAATTGCGCCCACGCATCAGGAGGCCAACAAAAAGATTATTTAGACGAAGAGGAACGTCGTTCGATTTTGAATGATGTACACGAAGCTAACGAGCGTCAAAGCGCAAAGCACAAAAGATTGCAATTCAAAAGTTTTGCATTCGTGATAGAAATATTGCACCGTTTTCAGACAATTTCCGAACGCAATAAAAGATGTTTAGAAAACCCTTAGAAATGCCATTATTATGGGGAATTCCCCCTAACCTGGTATCTCAACAAAGACATATTTGCTTCGTATAATCTCTCTTTTTCATTGAAATTTGTCTCACTATTGGTAACACGATTATAGACAAATAAGTATGATGAAAATAATACATTACTTGAACGAGAAGAGCAGTAGTCTAAATGTTAGTAACTTTAACTTTTTGTTGTTGCAGTAAACTGGTTATTTGGCCAAGCAATGTTTATACAAACTCACGAAAACTCACTTTAAAAAAAAATCATTTTGAATGTCAATACTGCGCAAACAGCACTCAAGTCTGTATGCTCGATAAATTCGGGCCTTTCCAGACCAATATTTTCTATATTTCCATGTTTATTTCTTTCGCTATACTTCTTTCGAAATTCTTTTGGAATTGGTAATTTATAAGGTTTTAAGAGTCGGTGTAGTTTTAGGAGGACTCTGTACAAATTTACATTTGCATTAATTATGAAAACTACGATAACATTATCAACATATAATGTCCTTGACAGCATCAAATTTTCTGTGATGACATGAATAGAAACATGTGAATTCACTCGAACATAACGCAAGGACAATTAATTGTTATATTTATGTGTTGATGTGTTATACGATGGCACGAATATGGATACATTAACAGAGGTAACATAATGCATGCTATCGTCGTATTTTTAATAAGGTCATCATCCCATCTAGATATACTACTTACAGTGGCCTATTTTATGTATCTTTCATTCTCTCCCACACTTTTTCCGTCGTTCTCACTTTATTATGCTATTTCCTTCCTGCTTCCCCATTCCCTCCCACTCGCTTGTGCTCGCTCTTTCTCTCCCTCCCCCTCTCTCCCTGCCCCCTTCTCTCTCTCTTTCTCTCTTTTCTCTCTCTGCTACTACCTCCTCTCCAGCCTCTTCCGCTTTCCCCCTCTCTTTCTCTCATTTTAGTATGAAAAATGATTGATTTCATTTCCGTCTCTGTCATCATCTCTTTTCCTATCTTCCCTTCTGATTTGGCTAAGTACATGATCTAACAATCTTATACTCTTATTTTAAATACACTGGTTTCCCTTTTAAAAGGCAAAGTCTCGTCAAATATTAATAACAAATGTAGTCGAGTGTTTATTCAAAAAATAAAATGCAAAGTTTCCCGCAGTCTAAACCGAATGAGGAATGCGATAAAAGCTAATTAAGTTTTACACACGAGACAGACTGTACAATGAAGACGGATGAACGTGGAGTAGACATTGTAGATCGGGTAAGGTTAATCACAGACCTCTTTTGAG